CGTAATATTTTTTTCAAATTAGCAATGTTCCATGACCTGGTGAGTGATCGTCCTTCAGCGTCCTTTAGAGAGTATGCTCCTCCTGCATGCACCTTCTCGACCAGGTATGGTCCTTCCCAGTTCGACACCAGCTTTCCCACATGCTTTAGCAAGTTAATCCATTTTCATACCAAGTCGCCCACCTGAAATTTGCAAACTTTCGCCTTCTTGTCCTGGGTTGCTCGCATCCTTTGCTTGTATGCTTCTACCCAGATCGATGCTCTTTCCCGAAGTTCCTCGATTGTATCCAAGGCCGCCATCATTAGATCTTCATTTTGCTCCTGGTCATATGTGCTCGATCTTTGTGATAACAGCTCGACCTCAACTGGCAACAATGCTTCTATCCCATAGACTAGACTGAACGGGGTTTCTCCTGTTGTCGACCTCGGTGTAGTGCGGTATGCCCAAAGTACTGATGTTAGCTCATCGACCCACGCCTCTGAAGCCTTTTCCAGCCTTGTTTTTAGTCTGTTCAGAATGATCCTGTAGGTCACCTCGACTTGTTCATTGGCTTGCGGACAAACAAAGAGAAACTACATAAACCATCTAGCCCGCAGCATTAAAAGCAGGGCCGGCCCAGGGCCAGGACAGCATGGGCTACCGCCCAGGGCCCAAATAAAAATAGGGGCACCATTAGCAATTCAACCCATACCTTATATATATACCTTATATATAAATAATGATGGGTCTTGACTCTTGAATATTTAAATATGTATATAAAAAAATAAAATTTAAAATAGGCGTAATGATTGCGCAGGCACACAAAAAAGAACCAAACGTCCAAAATCAACATCTCTCCTTCCAATCTCGATTTTATCTCAGTATGTTCATCTTCCCCTACTTTCTCTCATTCCCCAAATTCTAACATTAAATTACATTAATTTTCGTGATTATAAATTGCTCAGCCCTTTTTTTTTTTTTTCTTATTCACCATCAATTCCTCTTTTTTTTCTCTACATCAATTGCTTCAATCATTAGCAAAATTGCTAATCACTTCCAACAATTTTAGTTTTTTCATGAATATTTTCTTAATTTTGACAAAATCAACCTCTCCTATTAGTTTTTGTTGTTTATCGGCCTAGTTTCCCCCTGCTGAAGGACAATCCAACTCAGTCCGTCAGTCGTGAGCCGACAACTGATCCAACTCAGCCGTGGTTGACATCCAATCAGCCACGCCATTTTCAAAGGTAACTACTAAATTCATAATTGGGGCTTGTGAGTTTATAATTTGTTTATTAATTTCAGTTAAAAAAAATAATTACAATTAAAATTCACACTCTCTTGAGTTCGACCCTTACTCACTACATCTACTAGTTGGTAGAAGTCGGTTAAGGAAACTATAAATATTAATTTTGTCGCGTTGCGACGCGCGATCAGAAATCGATATCAAGTTCAGAAGATAAATTAGGGGTCAATCCAAAGAGATTAAACGAGCACAAGAATGAAAAGTTACAGCGATTTTAAAAAGCCGAAAGATTTTTTTTCTTTTTTTTAAAAGAACTTTTTTAGGTGTTGAAGTTTTGGTCTCTTAGACTTTGTTTTATACATTTGAGTGATTGGAAAATTTAGAGCAGATGTTAGTGTTGGGTTTTTTTTTCCTGCACAAACTCTAACTGTATTATATGATTTACAATAAGAGTGTGAGTTCATATTCTCTTGCATTTTTTGTATCTCGGCTCTGTGTGTTCATTTTGGAAATGTGCAACTATATGAACTGGATTTTTTTCTCATTTTGTTAGTGCTTTAATTTTCTTATAATGTAAATGCATTTCAACCAACAAAATACTTATGAATACTAGTAAGACTTTTCATGTAATGTTGGTGTTTAAAATGAAACCAATAATTGCCAACTTCTACCCATAACAAACAAAACAACGCTCAACTCAAAATAAACGTGTACACACACAAAAAAAAAAGGGGGGGACTGAACTTTGAATTGAAGCCATGAAGGAGCAAATTCTTTTGCAAAAGATCACATTTTACACCTAAAATGCAATTTTTCCAAGAAATCAAAGCAGAGACTTACAATCCTAACAATTTCAAAAACCAAGAAATTCAAATCTCAATTGTGGAAACTATAAAAGATCAGATTTTTACAGAGTCAGACCAATCGGGACTTTAAACCCTAACAAAACCCTTATCTCAATTTCAATTTCACATTGTTTTTCATTCAAGCGAGTTCCCAATAAATCTCGAGCAGAAGAAGAGAAGCACAAACAGCCGCTGGAAAAAGATTCCAAACCCAACTGCACAAGAAAGCGGCCCCAGATATCACGTTACCCTCGCCGGGAAAAGAAGGGTTTTTTCCTTCCGGCAGCCCATGAGCGGACGGCGGCGGCGGTGGTGGAGGAGAAGGGATGCGGCCGTCGCCGTAGACTGAGTAATCGAGGAGCTTTCTGACGCCGTGCACCGAGAAAACAGAGTTCAAGAAAACGTCGGGGTGGGTCACCTGCGAGCCGTCGACGGCGAAATTCTCCGGCGAGCTGTTGGTGACGACGATGTACTTGGCGCGGAGGAGAGTGGGGAGGCGCGTGCGGGCCGGGAGCCGCCGCAGGTCGGAGAAGGTGAGGCGCTGGGGGACGATGTGGTAGGGGATGAGGAAGGCGTCCAGGGGCGTTTTGCCGGCGCCGGCGGAGAGGTTGGAGACGGCGTCGTTTCCAGGGATGAAGAAGGTTGCGGTGAGGGGGAGGGACTGTGGGTCGGACCCGGAGAGGAGGTTGGCCCAGCCGGCGAAGTCGCCAGCGCCGATTAGGGCATCGATGATGTTGTTGAGGTGCGTTCCTTGGATGTCCGCGGGTGGCGGAGGAGAGGGTGTCCGCGGCGGTGGAGCTGTGGGTGGGGAGAGTTTGGGTTTGGGGGGTGTGCGGGTTTTGTTGGCGGGGATTGGGGCGGCGGCGGAGGTGGAGGAGGCGGCGGAGGTGGCGGTTATGAGTGCAGCTAAGAGTAGGATGAGAGAGAAGGAATTTGCCATGTAAATTGGAATTGATCAGTTTTCTTGAGATTAATGGAAATGGGAGCGTGCACAGCTATTTATTTACTTCTAATGTGCAAATAACTACACTGATTAGAGGATTTTTTTCTTGAATTTATATGGGCGGTTCTAACTAACTTCCAGATAATCCCCTCTTAATAAATTCTTTTTTGCTTGAGAAGGAAAAAAAACGAATAAAAAAAAAAAGGAAAAATGGTCTTTAATCAGTTTATGTATTTCTTTCTTGCGGTCATACCTATTTTCTAATGTAATTGTAATGAGTCGAGTCGAGATCTTAGAGGTAGCCGAGTTGTTAACTAAACTAGTCAATAAACGAACTCGAGTTATGCTCATTTATCAATATTAACGAGCTGAATATTAATATTAATAAATCAAGTAACATTAAAAAAATATTATTTCCGGGCCTTGTTAAGACGAATCAAACTTTTTTTATTATTTTCGCCCCTTAACTTGACGAACTAAACGTATGAGTGGCTCGTCTCGTTTAACAGTGCTAGACACTGCAAAACTCCAACAAAACTAGAAATTTACCCAAGAGTTAGAGTGTTTTTTTTTTCAATCTTTCTAGGCAATCTTCAGATCTGTCCTCTCTACCCTACGAAAGACTGAGGGCACATACCTGCGGCGGCAACAGCACGGCCGCGTGGAGCGC